TATATATATAAAAAGACAAGAACAGTTCATATACAATATTTTTTATTCAATGGCAAGTCAGTCTATTACAATAATAAAATACTCAAAAACATTCAGTAAACTTTTTAAGACGTGATAGGAGCAGCACAAGCAGTCAATGGAAATCTGTGGGAAGAAACAGAAGGCTGTTCCAATTAATTAAATGACAAGTGGACTTACATTCATGTTTGAAAAGTTACATCAAAAACAGCTTTACCTTGTGACATCTGATCTGTCAGACATTTAAGTTTCAACCCGTCAAACGCATAGCGCGACCACAACTGCGTTACTAGCACGCTGGATCAATAGCGTTCCTATTGTAGTCAGTGGAGTGCGTGGAAACTTTACATATAACAGTGAAGTTGCATCGTGTTTCAGCCCTGCTCACGCATTCGTTTGGTGGGAGGTGAAACTTCCATGGTGTCGTTTGTAGAAGGCTAGCATTCCAAGCACACGTTGCGACGTACATTTAAACAAAAAAGGAAAAATGTGAGACTACAGACATTTTCCTATTTGTACAGTAAGTTTCCCCTCAGGAAGTTCTCTCAGGACAGAACACAGAATGACCATTGACAAATTTATCCAGTTGTAACCAGTTTGGCACAGACTACCCAATGCTGGGTTACACTGACCCAGCACTGGGTAGGTATGTGAGGGAGTTCATCATTTGTATTGCCAGCAGCTGAGTTACAGAAAAACTACCCAGCAACAATGTTAGAAAATAATGAAAAAAAACCAATAAAATGACCCAACAGGCTGAACCCAGCATTTGGGTAAAAAAAACAACAAAAAACTTTTTTTTAGAGTGCACTTTAGATGTTCAACTAACTATAAGCAACTTTGTAACTACATGGCAACTAATACACAGCTAACTCTAATTAGAGTATTAGTAGACTGTTAGGTTAGGACAAAGACTATAGAATACCCAAGATGTGTCAATCGTATAGTTTTGAATGGGGAAAAATGCAACGCTCAATATAGCCGTTCTATCAAAGGAAGCCCCGCCTTCTGAATAAAAGAACCAATCGCTAATCCGTAAAGTCATTGCATCCCGGTTACTATAAAAACATTCTGCATTCTGAGATGTACGCTTAGGACTGCGTATGCACACTGGCTGGTCTAGCCTGAAAAATAAGCATTTTTATTTGAGCAAAAGAAACAACATTTATGAGACAGTTGTTGTCAGATTTCATTGGTGATTTCAAATATGAAAATTAATCGTAAGCGTGGTGAATAGTTTTGGAGAATTTGATGTTTCCCCATTCAAAGAGATAGGAGCTGCACTTGCATGCCCGAGAGGCGTTTCAAAGATGGCCACTGAGTGAAATGACTTTGGTTAGGGTTAGTAGAATAAGTTGACATGTAATTGCAAAGTGACTTACAGTTAGTAGAATGGGGGACCACCAAAATAAAGTGTTAGCAGATTTTAAGCAGATTGTCTACTAATACTAATGACTGGTAGCTGACATGCAATTGAAGTGGACTATCAAAATAAAATGTTACCCATTCCAGGACTTAGAGGCTGTTCTCACACATAATGCGTTCTTGTGTCCATCTGTTGTTTTTCTACATAAACATATGCTAAATGTTAGATTTTTCACCATTATAATGTATCATGCTGTTTTTAGTGTATCTTATGTGCATCTGAGTTAAAAACAGCTCAAAACCCTGTTTCGTGATACCTGCATTTTAGTGCCATTCTGTTGCTCTCCGTCTATCATTTTTAAATGCAATAATGCATCAAATGTCAACGGATTTTCGTCATAGTTTTTGTCATTCAAAATTCTTTTTTTTTTTTCGTTATCATTTCATCGTTGAAAAAATGTCTGTGACGAAAATTATGGTGAAAATTATTCGGCAACAAAATTAACACTGAATCAGTGCCATGATTTACAAACTAAAACGAGGAAACACAGTGGCCACAATTTACAAACTAAATTGATGAAATGAATTAGTACAACCATAAATCATCTGCATGTCATGTGACAAATTTGCATAATATCTTGTGAGTGAATCCAATGTTTATTTGATAAAGTGATTCACGATTAATTTCTTTCTGCTTTACGTCTAAGTGCTTCAGAAAAGCCCATCAGATAGGAGTCTAACAACACTGTCACAAACGGGTTCTTAAAAGCATATGTGTGTATGTACAGTATATATATATTTAGGCCTAAATTTTAGAGCTGTATGGTATGTAAGTTTTGACAGAAATAGATGCCACCCCACATTAACATAAATTACATTTTAAGATAAAAGCTTTCTACAGTCACTTAGCATGTTCTAAACATGCTTTAATAGTTTATTACTGTCTGCATCATTTGGAATCTCAAACTGCAAGCATGCATCTCACTCAATGCTCTGTCCAATCATGTCTATAATTTGGGGTAAAGCTTTTGTGCAGTTGTATCCCAGGGGTTCTCACATGTCTCCAGCAGCACGGGCTCTGAAATGATGGTCGCATATAGATGAGTTCAGTATTGATACAGTTGTCTGATGCTGAAGCACAAGACTAGAGATTAGGTGAGGTCGCAAGATGGAGGACGACGGAATGAGAATTGCTCCCCATCAAAGGCGCCTGACCGTATGTGTTTAACGACTGAATGAAATCCCATCTGTGACTAAAACACATTCCTGTTGGCAATCCATTAGCTACATGGCATTAATAAACTAAATACCACATGCTCAAAGGCAAAATATATTCTGAATATTCAAAGCACATAATTATCCATCATTATTATAAGCCATTTGAGTGTTTTGAATGCAATGCTTATGAAGCAATTTTGCATTAAATGTTGAAGTGTGTAAATCCTTTCTCCGGTAAAATACTGTCAAAATGTAATATGAAGAGATTATTATAAATAAGCCCTTCATAGGATGATACTCTCGAAACGCACTAATAACACATTACTCGGTTTGCTCAAGTTTGCCAACTAGCCTAACACAATAATAATGACTCAACTAAGAAGTGATATAATACCTGGAGAATGCTATCTGCTATCTCTTATCTGTTTTCTTTTTTGAGCCAATAAACTAAGCTGTAAATGCCATGTAACTATTCACTTTGGAGCCTGTGAAAATAAAATTGTGGCAATGCTAATTGGCTGATGTCACTAAGAACCCAAACATTCTTATAGTTTTAAAGGTGCATTCAGTAGTTCTTTAACTAGCATTAGCACAGCCACAGCTGTTCTTTGTGTACTTTAAGTACTGATACCACAATGGTTTTAGATGCTATACAGCCATCTATTGACATGGTTTTATGTAAATTACACTGACAGTAGTGAGTATTAGAGAGCGGTCCAACAAAAAAAGAAGCAACTTTGGCATCACTACTCTGGATTTTCTCCGCCATCAAATCTTTCCACCTTGTGTATGCTGTACCAATGTTTATGTTTTTTTATGCCTTTGTCTGTTTTTCTGTCTTCTGGCTTCAGACCTTTTCTGCTTTCTTCGGACATACAGATACTGATTTGATTTCCCCATTGTCTTTGTGGGTAAAACATTTTTTTTTTTTTGTTGCTCTTCTCATCACCAAACAACACTATGTTACTAGTGTATCTACACATCACATCTGAGTTGTGCATCTACAGGTCCAGTACATCATATTCTACACTTCACCTCACACTCTCTCAGCACAGAGCATCACCTCTGCCTCTCACTAAAGTATCTTCAAGCAGCTGGATTTCCAGGGCTGACTGCATTGACCAAAACAAAATCCCTGTAGTATTTTCTATTGCAGTAGAGAAGTGGCTTCGTACTCACTCTCTTTACAATATTCCAGCATGAGTGGCATAAATTAATTGATGAAGTTAACGGCGTAACTACAAAAGTTAATTAAATGCAAGTCATTTTAAATATAATTACAATGCACCAACATATAGGTACATAATAAGTATATTGTAAAAAAAATAAAAGGTAAGTACATAGTAGTTAATGCCACCTAATATAAAGTGTGACCAATAATTTTTAAATAATTGTTTTAAATAAATAATTATTCTATTATTTAATAACAATAAACAATGACCTATGCAGCTACAGGTGGAACAAGACAAGGGCACCTATGTTATAGCTGCAGTTTAGAGGAGTCTTTATCATTAATCCTCCAACCTGAAAGGTCATCATTTTATTTAAGACATCCTTGCCCCAATCTAATTTATTCCCCCGTATCTTCCCTCCTTTCGCTTCATCCTCAATTTTCTGCACTCATTTCTCTTTCTCTATCTCCCTCCTAACCCATTTTATACTTTCCCTTGGCTTGTTTACTCCTAGATTAGAAGTACTATTTTAAGGTCTCCCTGCAGCCCATATTTAAATCTATGACTGCATATGTGCCGTCTAGTTCCCCTGGCACTCATTAAATCTGAGGTCAATTCTAAACAGCACTGGGTTTAAGCCTTAAGATGTAAAAATGAGCAATCAATGGTGGGAATGATGACCCATCAATGATTTCTCAGGATAGGAGCAAGAAATTCCCACTCAGTTAACCACTTTCCGATAGCCACAAGCAAGTTGAACACTGAGAGCTCCCTTATTTTAATATTAGAGACTGAAGAGCAACACAATATTTTGTGTCACGGTTGCTTGGCCTGTGTTTTTGTGAAACATTGAAACCTGTGTTCAGTGCTGAGACAGACGGCTCCACTAACTGCTGTCACTGCTGCTCTTGTCAAAGCACATGGGACAGTGGTCCTGCAGACATTAGCAACGGCCATATCTCTGAGGATGGCGGCATGTGTTATGAAATGGCATGATGTGGAACTGTCATTGACATCTGAATTCATTACTGTAAAATCTGGTTAATTAACACAGTGGATGATAAAGCATGTCTTGCATATCGCTTGTGCATTAACAGGTGTCAATCTAGTTGACAGAACAGAGTGTTCATTGCAAATAGTATGGTCCTTGGGTTCAGGTTATTCTCAATTTCACATACACATTGATTCACGCACCTATCATTAATAATATAAATTATAAAAATTAAAGATATTTGATCTGAGGAACACTAAATTACACTGGCAGAATATTCTGTAGAAGCTCTAGACAAGCATGTGTTATGAAATGGCATGATGTGGAACTGTCATTGACATCTGAATTCATTACTGTAAAATCTGGTTCATTAACACAGTGGATGATAAAGCATGTCTTGCATATCGCTTGTGCATTAACAGGTGTCAATCTAGTTGACAGAACAGAGTGTTCATTGCAAATAGTATGGTCCTTGGGTTCAGGTTATTCTCAATTTCACATACACATTGATTCACGCACCTATCATTAATAATATAAATTATAAAAATTAAAGATATTTGATCTGAGGAACACTAAATTACACTGGCAGAATATTCTGTAGAAGCTCTAGACACCCTTTCAAAAGGTCAGTTCTGTGAGGAACCATATGTTCCTCAAGAACTCTAAACATTACATATATATATATATAAACTTGTGTAGTGTAGTGTGTGTATATATTAAATTTACAGTGTGGGGAAAAGCTACTGCATGCTCTTACCGTCAGGGTTGGCACAGATGAAGACCCGGACACTCCTGCCCGTTGGGACATGGAACGGTGGGAGCGCAAGGACGTTGCCACTGATGGCTGCTCTGCGCAGAGCAGATTCACGGGGACAGGGCTGCCTGCTGCTTGCTCCGGACGGCCACATGGGTGGCGATTTCCAACACGGCTGCAAACAGAATTTAACATGTTTAGGAACCCAGAACTATGGTTTTTAAATACTGAAGGGATTGAATGGATGAATGTAAAAACAAAAAGTTTATTTTACTATTGTCAGTGGTGTAGTGATGTATGAAGCTTAGCTCACATTGAAGTCAGTTTCAAACCAAGCAGCTTTCTGTTGGTCAATGAAGCAAATCCGCTTAGCAACTAAACCAATGTGATGGCAAATGTGAACTGGTTCCTATTCAAAAGCAGTTTCATTTTGTTACACAAATTTCTCTTATGAGTCAGTTCTTTTTAGTTAATCAAAAATATAAAGCGTGACTCATTAAACACTGACTTTTATGAGCCGCTTTATTTTAATGAATAAAAGATTGCGCTCACACAGTCAAGTGTTTGGAGTTGACAAAAATAATTATAAATGGGTGTGAATCTCTAAAGTTAATGTGTACACAGCAGTTATCATTTACAGTATATCATTTTCTACTCTCACCTTAGTCGTAACCATAGTAACAGTGCCTAAATTTGGAATAGCGTACTAGATTTGACAGATGAACTCGCATCGCGATTGGATTTGTTTATTAATTGCTGAGTAATATTTTCAATATCTTTTAAGATTTTCTAGAATTTCATCATTATTATTAAATAATCCACTCATATCCACATTGCTATTATTAAATAATCCATGCGTTTGATTTTCAAGTACACTATTCATGCAGTCAGTATGCTACTGTGAATTAAGGCAGTGATTCAAGTGAATATTATAAGGATGGCTGCATCCACAATACTTAAAAGCTTATTTAACAATGTTATTTGATAAACAAGTAAATACCCACAAATTGTACAGCGTGAAGTGACAAACTAATTGTCCAGTATGGTTCCATTTACACAGCACATGTTTACCTAAATGTGTGTCCTGAAAATTAAAGGGTGGCGACTCGGTTTTAAAATGAGGCTGTCACTGTGGTTAATCTCTGAATTGTTTAAACGTAACTGTATTGAGTACTCCCTTAAGAATTTATAGTTTTATTCTGGAGTTGGGTAAATGATGACAAAAACACAGCGTGGTCAGATGTAGTCTGGAATAGCCTTCCTGATAACGTTCGGGGTTCAGACACACTCCCTCTGTTTAAATCTAGATTAAAGACACATCTCTTTGGCCAAGCATTCAAATAATGCATCTCATAATCTTGTACTGCAGTTATATCTCATCAAATGCACATTATTATTCTTTAGTTTGGG